GGGGGCTGTTAGGGGGGGGAGAGGGTGGTGAGGGGGGGGGGTGGGGGGGGGGGGGGGTGGGGGGCGGGCAACTCGAACAAAACTTTAGGACGAAAATAAAGGTGTTAAGTAGATTTCGAAAAATGTATAGATCGACTCAGTTTTTCATGCTAATTTCGAATATACCATCCTTTTTTATCAAAAGCCGGTCTATTCTCAATTAATATATTCAAGAAGTAGTCAAAAAAGTATACTTTTTTTCTGTACCGCTCGACCATTATACGGTGCATTAGATGTCTTGGTCCAAATTGATATCAAATGTTATTTTGTAGTGCTTTCTTTGCTTTATTGAGTAGTGTATAACAGAAAGAAGCTTATATGAAAAATAAACTCAAGCGTGTCAAATTGATATTATATGATATGCATTAAAATCGTGTTCAATGGAAGAGTAGAGAAAAATATTATTACTATTATCTTCAATAATTTGTTTGAAATGATGCAGAATTTAACGCTCTTTTTATTCAAGACAAACTGGACTTGAAATATTTTTTAAAAAGTGGATCAATACAAAATATACTGAAGACTATAAGACTTCAATGAGTTTTTTTACAAATATTTTTCCTTCAAAGTGACCTCTAATGTCCCAAAAAGACTCGTATTGCTTCTGTGCATAGAATTACTAATGTAGTATCTATGAACAATTAGTAGCCGAAATTCCATTGCTTATGCATCCCGTCCATTCTTTATAAAAATCTAAAATTCATATATAAATATTTTTATTTAGTTTGAAAGTATGGGTGCATATGGATTAATAGGTGAATCAATATTAAATCATCATGTATCAAAATATATTCAAATGGTACCATTTTTTAATCGTTCATCATCAGAAATAAATTCTAATGAAATAGTATCAACATTACGTTTACGTTTTCTTGATGCAACATCAGATGCATTAGAACGTTGTTTAACAGAAGAATTTTCTTTACAAAATTATTTATGTGATAAACCAAAACAATTTATTATACATGATTATGAAGATCAAATATGTATTAATGTTGATTTAGAATTATCATCAACATCAAGAATTAATATTGGTTATAAAGAAATACCATTAAAAACATTTTGGTCAACTAGATTTGATCGATCGTGTTTTATTTTTATTATACCTAATTTACAAATGAATAATGAACATTTAACAACAACATCAATTGATAATTTAGCTATGCATATCGATGTTTATCAACCTACTATGTTAGATAGTGCTTTACATACACGTTTATGTGTTAATACACTTAGTGTAAGTGAAATGATTATTATCATACATATCATATCCGAAATAGAGATTTGTTCCAGACGATACTATTTCTTTTTGCTCTGCAGAGCATATCAACTAAGGTCGACTGTGAAATGAAATGGTAGCTAAATAAAAAATTCTGATCGTTTTTTTTTATGTTCACTGTTCAGATTTTGTTAACATAATTTCAAAAACAGAATATGACCTATGTATAAAAATTACCATAAATCCATTTAGAATCAATTAAAATAGTATTATTTTTATTCCATTATAATCTGATCTTAAACTTATATCAAAGATGTTTTCTAATTTTCAATTTTTTCTCCAAATCTATTTTACCGACTGAAATTCATTGATAAATTTTAAACAAATTAAAACTGATAAGTCTTCTTAATAGATTAGAAAGAGTTTTTTTTTAAATCATGATAATAGAAAAGCTGCTATCCTCATCTCTGTGGGATTAAAATGTGAAACACAACGTAACTACTGTTGCCAATCACAAATAGGTAATTTTTTATTCTATTTACTTTGCGATACATGCGACAAGGAAATAGTTCATACATTAGAACAAGACGTTATTCATAGACGGTTTTTAATCATCTATCAACAACGTTTGTGATGGTCTGTGGAAGTTTTCATCCTTATACTTCAATACTTCTTTTAGGTTGTGTTTCACAAAATTTAATTAACAGCTAAAAATGAGAGTATAATCTTGTATGAATAGTGGCATTTTACTCGGTTCTTGATGAAAAGTAATTATTTTCAATTCAATTTCTTATCATTTTTTGGATAGGTGCGTGACAGTAGTATAATATTCATACAAAAATAAGATATCTCTCACGAGGGAAGGTCCCCAAGTGTGAGTCTCCGTTTCGAATCGGGTATTTGTTATTTTGTAGAGCTCAATGAGTACAGTACCCGCGTATAAAGGATTTCTGCCCATGGTGAACTTTT